CCCTGAAAATAAAAATTTCTTAAAGTAAGTAGAATGTCAATACAATTATATTGAGGGGCTTTAATATCTCACTCTCACAAACAGACAGGTCACCAGACGCAAATTCAACAAAGAAATATCAGAGTTGATATTTAACCATCAAACCAAGGGGCTTAAATGATACATAGTTTTATCCAACAATAGCAAAATACCCATTATTTTTCTCAACAGCACATAGAATTTTCTCCAAATAGACCATATGTTAGGCCATAAAGCATGCTTAAATAAAAAGTAACTGAAATAATCTCTTGCAACCTTTTAGATCATAGTGGAATGAACCACAGAAACTACACAAACACATGCAGATTTAACACTATACTCTTGAATAATCAAGGAGTCAAAGAAGAACTCAGGGAAGAAATTCAAGGACAATGATAGCACAACACATCAAATTACGGGACAAAACAAAAACAGTTTTAAGGGACAAGTTTATAGCTATGAATGCACACATTGGAAAAATAGAACAATCCTAAATAAATGATGTAGCTCAAAATCCTAGAAAAACAAGGGCAATCCATATCAAAAACTTGTAGAAGGAAATAAATTATACAGATCTGCTCAAAAAATCAATGAAACTGAGACCAAACCAAAACCAAAACCAAAAAAACCCTCCATAGAATCAATGAAGCAAAGACCTGGTTTTTTGAAAGGAGAGATTAAAGCCATTTCTGACAAATCCACTGCCAACATCACACTAAATAGGGAAAAGCTGAAAGCATTCTAAAATCAGGAATAAGACAAGGTGTCCACTCTTTCCACGGCTGGTCCACACTGTATTCCAAACTTTAGCCAGAGCAGTCAAACAAGAGAAGTAAAAGGGATATGAATAGGAATGAAATCAAATGATTCATATTTGCAAGTGATATAATCTTTTACATAGAAGGCCCCAAACCTCTACCAGAAGACTCTTAACAATTTAGCCAAGAGGCAAGATTCAAAGTTAACATACAAAAATCAATAGTGTTCCTATCCACCAATAACACATCTACTCAGAAAGACATCAGGAAATAATACTATTCATCATAACTTCTAAAAAATTAAGTACCTCAGAATTAACCTAACCATGGAAGTGAAAGAACTTTCTCACAGAAACTATAGTACTCTGAAGAAGATTGAAAAAAAACGTTAGAAAATGGAAAGATATTCTGTTTCTGGATAGGCAAAATTGATATTGCCAAAATGCTCATATTCCAACATTGATATGTAGATTTTATACAGTTCCAATCACATACCAACAATGTTCTTCACAGAACTAGAAAAAACCTTAAAATGTACATAGAACCAGAAAAGATCCAGAATAACCACAGAAAGCAAAAGGAGCAAAGCAGGAGGCATTGCAATCCTGGATTTCAAATTACCCTACAAAGCTACAGTAAAAACACAGCATGGAACTGGCACAGAAATAGACATGTAGATCGATGCAGTAAAACAGAAGACAGTCTCACTTACCTTTAGTCATCTGATCTCTGACAGAAGGGCCAAAAACAAAAGTTGGAGAACCGACAGCCTCTGTAACAACTCGTGCTAGGAAAATTGGTTACCAACATGCACAAAGATGAATCTAGACCCATATCTGCAACCCTGTACTAAAATAAAAATAGAGCATAGACCTAGGCATATAAAAACAGAACGCTGACTCTACTGGAAGATAAAATCCTTAAAACTCTTGAAGTCGTAAGTGTAGGTAAGGACTTACTGAACAAAACTCCAATATCCCCAAGGATCAACAAGTGGGAGTTATGTTAAATTCAAAAGCTGCTGCACAGAAAAGAAACAATCTACAGAGTGAAGTGACCAAAGTACAGAATGGGAAAAAGTTTTGCCAGCTATTCCTTGGACAGTGGACTAATATTTAAACAACAACAACAACAACAAGATACCAAAAGATCCAGTTAAAAAAATGAGCAAGTGAAATAAATAGACACCTTTCAAATGAAGAAGTACAACTGGCCGGTAGTACACAAAAAAATGTTTAGCATCTTTGGCCATTAGAGAAATGCAAACCTAAACAAGACTGAGATTTCATCTCACTCCAGAAAGAATGGCCATCATCCAGGAATCAAAAACAACAAATGCTGGTGAGGCTTTGGGGAAAAGGGAGCCCTTCTACACCGCTGGTAGGAATGCAAACTAGTACAACCACTATGGAAATCAGTATGAAGATTCCTCAAAAAAGAACAGAAATTCCATTTGACCCAGCTATATGTCTCCTGGATAACACGTTACAGTGATATATGTACACCCAAATTTATAGCAGTACAACTCACAATAACTGAATTATGGAGAAGGCCTATAAGCTTGTCAACAGATGAATGAATAAAAAATGTAGCATGTACATATAATAGTGTACTATCAAACCATAAAGAATAAATTTAAATCATTTGTAGGAAAATGGATGAATCTTGAGACCACAACGCTGAGATAAATCAGACATAGAATATTAAATATCACACACTTTCTCTTATATGAGAAATCCAAAATATAAATAATTTAAAGAGTGAAATAGGCCAGGCTTGGTGGCACATGTCTGTAATCCCATTCTATAGGCTGAGGCAGGAGGATTGTTGTGAGTTTGAGACCAGCCTGGGCTACAAAGTGAGCTCAAGGCCAGCCTGAACTGCATAGTGACATCTTGTCTCAAAAAGACCAAAAAAGAAAGAGTAAAATAATGGAGAGATAGTAGGAAACAGAGAGGTACATTTTTTGGAGATTTGGAAAGGGGTCTGGGGAAGAGAGGTTCAGGGTGGAAGGAGGTGATTAAAAAGGCTCAAGATACAATATGTGCGTGTACCAGTTCCTCACAATTAATGTAATTATCATGTATCACAAATGTACACTAATTAAAGATAAGTAAATAACTGAGAATAAGTCAAAGAAGAATCTACAATTACATTTTGTACTACAGAGTAGTCTTCTCATTCCCAAGACCCCAGAGGAGTGAAACACTGGATAGCACCAAGCCTGATATATATACATATATACACTGAAAAAAGCTATATATAGTAGCTTTCTATGTAAAATAAAACTACTATATAAAGCTATATATATGTGTGTGTGTGTACCTTTTTTTCTCTATATAGGTACCTATGATAAGGTTTAATTTATAAACTAGGCTTGAGGAGAGATTAACAACAGTAACAACATAGAAGAATTATAAAACATACTGGAATTAAGGATTACTTAAACACAAGTACTGTGATACTGAGACAGTTGATCTGATGACAAAGATGGTTACTAAGTGACACAGGGGCAGGTGGCATCCATGGTGGGGATGTGCTGAACAAGGGAATGATTCACTTACTGCGTGAGACGGTATCCATCAGACAGTATGAGATTTCATCACACTGCTCAGAAGGGTGCACAGTTTAAAACTTGTGAAATGTTTATTTCTGGAATTTTCCATTTTATACTTTTGGACTGTGGTTGACCACAGGTAATTGAAAACAGACTAGGTGGTGGAGACTACTGTACCTATTGCTTTGTTGTTTATATATATGAAACTGCTTTGTATTTTTGTTTAATCTTGAGATTACGAACACTAGAAAGCTCCAAAGGAGATGGTTGAAGATTCAGAGGGCTTCTGAGAGTGCAGTTCCCTGGGGTCTTGGTGCTTTCCCCTGGGAACTCTCCAAGGAGCAAAGAGATAGTTGCATCACTACAGTATAGAGCAGTGGTGGCAAACCTTTCAGCACTTTCAATGATAACAAATAGTCCTTTGTGATAACAAATAGTCCATTGTGGCACACGTGCTACATTCACCATCACCAGCGTAGAGTATCATATGCTACTGCACATTGAGTATTGACACGTAAGAGTGATAGAAGCTGTGGTTCTATAACTTCAGCTTGGGGACTATAATTCTTTCATGTCCCTAGAGCTTCTGAGACTATGTGAGAGGTGCTGAAGAGAGGGCCTCTTTCCTCACATCAGCTGTACACTGACATACAACAATCTAGGCACACTGGTCGAATCACATACTCCATAGTATTGTTTCTTCATAGAATATTTCTAGCCTATTTCTCTAAGAATACTATTGTAGCAAAAGTGTTTACAAAGTGTCCTTTTATTACCTTATTTTTTTTGTTTGGGCCCAAAGAAATTGTACAGGTTTATGAATATACAATAAGGTGTTTAGAATTCCACTTATCTCTGACCCCATTTAAGAAGTTAAGAAGCTGAGTGTGTGAATGATGTCCTTTATAGGTGTTCACAGGTCTCCTCACTATGTAACTGTTCTAAGACTCAAAACAGTTCACCCCAAGGAAGCTGCTTTCATCACCACAATACATTGCTCCTCCAGGGAGGAAGCCAGGCCATCATTCCCAGAATGATCTTAGTTTCTAAACACAGCGTGAGCCCAATGAGTCACTGCATCCCACTGTATGCTATTTGCCATAAGAATCAGAAAATCAGGGTTAAACATAAATAATATTGCATTACTCACAGTACCTACAAACTGCAATCTAGAAAAAGTGCATACAGTACACTACGATTTCTTGAACAATTTCTTCTGTAACGTTTTCCGAACTTTATGGGAGATAGCTGATAGAGAATGAATCACTGGATGTGATAACCAATGCAAATATACACCAGAGCTCCCAATTCAGTGGGCCATGAAAGCACTACTCTAAATTAATTTTTATTCCTGATGTATAGAAAGTGACTTATAAACATATTCCAAATTCACACCATCTATTAATTTTTACCTAACCAGGCATACAAGGACAGTGTATCATTGAGTTGTGACCTCACAGTGGTACTCCTCATTTACAAAAAGTTTTAGAAGGCCCTGGGATGAGAAGCAAAATGTTCCCAGAAACATCTTTTTATTTACATATGTATCCAAGAGCAACTGACCTTCAAATTCTTTACTTGCTATTTATGTAAGAACATTCTGTAGAGTCTGAAGTCTGAAAAGGAATTAAAATGACTGATGAAATGATAGTAGAACCGGGGCTTACCTTCAAAAAAGCTTTCTTTTCCAAAGTGTTCATAATAAATGGAGGGATGGCTGGAAGTAAAGACAGAGACACTTAAATCTTTGATTGTCATTTTCAGCTCACTTTTCCCCCCAGTAGTTTGATAGAAATCTCACATCACTTTAAGGAGACTTTTCCAAGGGCAGAGTAAAAACAATTTGTAGTAATTTTTCAATTATTAAATTTATTGGTCATTACAGTGTATACATGTACCAAGTTATCACAGAGTACCTCATATATTTGTCCAATTAAACTGATAACAAATATAAACCGATAAATTTAAATTTATTAAATTGAAAACTAATTTCATCTTCCAGATTTCTATGAAAGCAATATAGGGGCTGGGGATTTAGCTCAGCAGCAAAAGCGCCTGCCTGGCATGCGCAAGGTCATGAGTTCGGTTCCCGGTACCGGAGAAAAACCAAAAAAAAAAAAAAAAAAAAAAAAAAAAAAAAAAAAGAAAGCAATATAAAAGCCATGAAGTTTTATAATCTTGAATAGAATTCTATCTGCAACTTTGTTTTTTTCTTTTGTCTTTTATGTTTAGTTTATTTTAATTTAATTACATTTATTGGTACAAGTTAGGTATATACAGTGATCACATTCATCAGAGGGAATTTGTACCTGTACGTGACACGTCTTGATTTGTCTTTGAACAGGCAACAGTACAAATATCACAAACTTTCCCTCTCATACTAAAAAACCAAAGGTGACTTTCCTTGAGTGTCTATCATGCACGAAGAACACTGCAGAAGATCTTGCTTCAGTACATACTAGACCATCTGCAGGCTGGACAGTGCTGGAAAAGTTACTCAACTTCTCTAAGCCTCAGTTTTCTGTTTTCCAGCTATGCAATGGGGCATATTACTAAATTGGCTATGATGATCAGATGAGCTAATGCATGTTGAAATGTTGCTATGTGGTGAGCAGCATTAGTTCATTACAACTTTTATTAGACAAAACTGTCATATCAGCTACTTCAATATTTCAATTACCCTCATAAATTTCACTGGGACAGAAAGGTTAGCTTTCTTCCGTGGAGACTAAATAGTGCTTAAAACAACTATATTACTGGAATTGGAGTTGTTGGCGTGGTAGAACTCCAAGAGAAATATGATGGTTCAAAAATGGGAAAGACTCAAACCAAAAAGCACATGCAGAATGGGAGCTGGAGTTGTGATACTGTTTTCGGTAAATCTGCAAATCAGGGCTCAGTCGTCAGGGTGAACCCCACAGCCTCCTCTTAGGTAGTGAGAAGCATGCTGGTCCCTGCTCTTGGCAGCGCTTGTCTACACTTCAGGACTGTGGCTTCCTGGACACCCCCACAGAACACACAGGCACCCCACAAGGACACTGGGGGTTCCTTTGTTAAATCAGGTAACACTGATCTTCCCCAGTTATCTGGAATGCAAACAGTTACCCCTTGTTCCTCGGTGTCCCTGGGTTTCAGGAACCCTTGTGGGTACCAAAATCCGTGGATAATCACATTCCTTATATAAATGCTTCAGCATTTGCATATACAGTACCCTACACACATTCTCCCGTACACTTCAATCATTTCTAGATTAGACAGTACATCATACCTAATACAACGCAAATGCTATGTAGCAGTTGTCCAAAATTGTTTAGGGAATAATGGCAAGGGAAACAAAAATCTGTACATGCCTAGTGCAGATGCAATTTTGAAAAAACATCTGTGGGTTGTTGAATCCATGGATGCCAAACTGTGGGTTACTGCAGGAGGAAGGACTGCAGAAAATGCAGTTTTCTTTCAAGCCCTTTTCTTCAACTTTTGGTGCCTGCTCTTACTTGTCTACTCATGAGCATTCACAGTGTCAAAAGGAATTTGAAAACAGCCAAAACTTCATCTAAGGACTTCCTTTTAATAGTCAAGTGCTGTTTGCATGCAGCTTAGATGACAAAGTTACACATACTAATTTCTGTTTTAGATTTTTTTCCCTTGCAAATAACACTATACCTAGTGTCTCTGGTTTCAGAGTATGTCTCAGAGCCATCTCTAGGCCCCTGTTCTGAAGATAGCTTTAAGCAACCTTGTGGGTGGACAAGGGGTTGTAAGAAAAATTATAACTACAAGGCAGCTTTCCTGTTTCTGGTCACGCTGGCTCCAAGCCCCCTGGAGAAAATTGAGTAATTTCCCAGCAGACGTTTAGCTCTTCTAAGCATTTCCGTTTGTTTTGTGTTCCAAGAATTTCTGAATGCTACGAATAAATTGTCAGTAGAAATTATTTCTCTCCATGGACTTTTGGGAAGTTTCTTTCAAGATTTGTAAAGATCAAATTCCTTCTCTTCAAACTCAGCTCTACTGCATTCCTCTGGTCTGTTCCAACCAGCCATGATCTCTTGCCAGGAGCACTGGGCCAGCCTCCTGAACGGTCTCCACACATTCCTGTACCCGCTTCAGTCTGTTCTCACACAGCACTCAGCGGCGTGCATGCAGGTGAAACCCATTTGGACAATGCCAAGCCCCGGCTCAAAACTCTGCATGGCTTCTTATCCCTCAGACTAAAAGCCAGAGCTTGAAAGGCCTAAGCAACCACCCACAGGCTCTCCAGCACCTCTCAGCTTCCTTTCTGTAGCTCCCTATCTCCCTCTCTACTCTAGCTACATCTTTTTCCCTGCCAAGTCTCCAACACAAGAGATCAGCTCCTGCGGCCCCCTGGCTACTGTCTCTGCCCAGAATAGTGGTTCCTGCCAACTACTTGGCTCACGCCTTAATCTCTACCCAGTCTTTTTCTAGGCTGCCTTCCTACATCACCAACATTCCCTTTCCCCTTAGTCCTTACTGCCGTCGCACATGTAGGTTAAGAATCCCTAATGTGAAAATATGAAATCCAGAATGCTCTAAAATCAGAAACTTTTTGAGCACTAAAAAATGTCACAGTGAAAATTTTATATTTGACTCATGTGCCAGGTCAGTCAAAATGCAGACACACAAAATATAATTTATTCAGCATCTTCAAGGGGAATAAAGGTCCTGCAGTCTCACTCATCTATGATATACAAACTCTGTTTTATGTACATAATTATTAAAAAATTGCATAAAACTATCTTTAGGACATGTGTATATGTTATATATGAAACATAAATAAATTCCATATTTAAACTTAGGTCTCCTCCTTGAAATAGCTCATGATGTATATGCAAATATCAAAACAAAAAACTTAAAACTAAAACACTTCTGGTTACAAGCACGCTGGATAAGGGATACTAAACCTCAACTATATATTTTTATTTTCTTACTTATCTTCTGCCTCCCTCATTATAAGGTAATTCTCATAAAGGGGAATGAGTTTATCTTGTTGTTTACTGATACACAGAAGCTTGTTCCACTTAAACTTATGAAATAAATGAATGGATGACCAAGTCCCACTAACCCATGCCAGGAGCTGCCATGAGAATCCTGGAGATGACGACTTGTGTGATGGCTTGTTTTGCAGCGTTTGCTGATTCACCCAAGCGGTTCCCACTTTCATCGGTGACAGGAATGCCAACTTTGAGTTCCCTGCAGAGTAAAACACGTGTAGAACGAGTTCACAAATACCTTCGTGCAGCACCTTGAAATAGCACTATGTTAGGAGAGAGCAAGTCCTTACTTCATCCAGACACCCACTCAAATGTCATTTTTGGCACTGACAAGTTTATTTTTAAATACCATGAATAAGTTCAATCTTCTTGTGATAGACACAAAAGTAAAATCAAACTGGTATGCTTTTTAAAAAAGGTGTATCTTTTCAGTAACAATAGCATCTGAAGGGTACACATGCTAATTTAAAGATAAGGCTAATTTCTATGTTCGTGTACAAATTTGAGAAACGTTGTAAGTCAGAAATAGGTACAATACACAGCATTACGTCAACTAATTGTACTGATATAGAAAGAGTCTTAAACATGGCCCTACTGAGTATTTATTAATTACAGTTATTAACACAGTGAGGATAATTCTTATATTAACCCCTGTTTTTCATTATCAATTCCAAAATGCTTTCTCTTGTTCTTTCTTTTCCTTTGATTTTTGCCAGTTCTAACAACATACTTTCAAAGGTACAGATTAATAAAAAAAAAAAAATCCCCCAAAGAATTTCTCCCAGGGGAAAAAGGAACATTTATTTTATTTTACTTTTACTTTATGATATGTTATGTTATGTTAGGTACCAGGAATCAAACTCAGGACCTTGTGCTTGCCAGGCAGACACTGTGCTACTGACCTATATCCTCAGCCAGGAACCTATTTTATTTTTGGTTTTTCTCCGGTACAGGGAATTGAACTCACGACCTTGCACTTGCCAGGCAGGCGCTGGGCGGCTGAGCTAAATCCCCAGCCCCAGGAACCTATTTTGGAGAATAAATTTTTCTTTGCAGGGAATTTCCTTGCTGAATTCAAGCACAAATCAGTATAAACTCGATATATCTTTGAAGCTTTTTATTATATTGAAGTAGAAAGACGACTGTCAACTACCACAAACTCATCAGCCTGCTTCAGTAATGAGCAACTCATCACTAAGCTTCTGTATAGTGGTCCCATTTTCACCTTCAACCTCTGGTTACTCTTTTTTTTTTTTTTTTTTTTTCCAGTACCGGGAATTGAACTCAAGACCTTGTGCTTGCCCGGCAGGCGCAGTGCCGCTGAGCTAAATCCCCAGCCCCAACCTCTGGTTACTCTGAAGAAAATCTCAGATTCCATGAATTTCCTCTGTACATATTAATACAAAAGTTTCAACAAAACCAGTGGTTATAATAGATTCTTCTGTTGAGCACAAGTTAATCTTACCTTTGCCTCATTAATGGAATATTAATGCAATTAGCAGCAGCTACAGCAGCAAAGGGAACAAAACGTCCTATCAGTGGTGAGACATGCTGCAGAAAAGAGAATTCCAACAACATAATGTCACTTTTCCTGGACAACTGAATGGAAATACTTATCTTCTCTTAAAATGCAGAATCCTAGTTGTATAGAAACTCAGTCCAAGAGGACTTTTAAAACTTGGTTCCTAGCTGTCTTTTTATATTTCCAGCATGGGCAGACTGGGACAAAGAATACCCCTACAATATTCTGAGAGCTTAGTGTGCTGAAGATACATGGGTTTTAGAATCCCAAAATTTTGAGTTCAAATGCTGGCTCTTCTACCTCTTCAAAGACACGGCCTATCACACAGTGTTAGGGTCAGGGGAGAGGGGCATTTGGTACTAAATCAGGCCAGGCACAGACCATGCTGTTGGGTGATGTCACGGGTGACAATCATTCCCATATTCTTTGGAAGATATAACTAAAATATATAGCGAAAGATAATGAATACAAGAACGTGGCTTGTATTCTTTGGCTGGAATTCTTTGGAGAAATAATAGAGACACTCATATCCAGACAGGTGAGAAGAACTTGGATGTCAAGGCTGAGTACCTTGGTTAATGCATTAAGTCCTAGTGCTGTTGCCACAGCACCAGTTGTTGCGGAGACATAAGCTGTTCCCAACTCTCTGAAAAGACAGAAAGAGTGTGTGAATGACAAATACACATCAGGGGACTCTGGCCCACTACTTGAAAAAGTATGAGAGAAATACAAGAGTATGCTTAAAAGTTGAGACACCAGAAAACAACATATAGTATCACTCTACAAGTGGAAGAACCTAGAGAAAAAGCAAGCAGACCCCTAAAGCAGGCTTCTCTGCATGTGCACACTACAACCCCTATCATGTAAACAAGCAGGTTGAGCACTCAAGGTGGGAAGGAAGGAGAGGGGTGTAGAGGGAGCTACAAATGCAGAGAAAGGCATCTCAGGCTCAATGTTTGCAGCACATTGCCTTAAATCAAAAATACTTTTCAGAATATTAATATGTATGCAAAGCAAAATGCAATGCTGCTATTCTTGAAATACTGTTTTACTGTATAAAAATACTGAAAGGCTCATCTTCAAAGTGCAATTAAGCCCAAGCAATTCCCGTGAGAGTGATAACACCTGTGGGCTACAGATTTCAATATTTTTGGTTCTATCTGATGGTAGTAAAAGAATACAGGTTGCCAGAGGCAATTTGCATTGATAAAAAGGAAAAAAAACACTTTTCATTCAAGCGTTATACAAGTTACACCACCACTGCTGCTTATCTAGTCTCTTTGGATTCTCTAAAAAAATTATTTTAATAGGAGCCAAATATATAAACTCATTACTTCTTGCAGGGCAGGGGGACTCCAGAGATGAACTATTTTATTTTTTTATTTGTTATCTTTTTGAGACAGGGTCTCACAATACAGTTCGGGCTGGACTTGAGCTCACTTTGTAGCCCAAGCCGGCCTCAAACTTGCAACAATACTCCTACCTAAGCCTCCCTGAGTGCTGGGATTACAGGCATATGCCACCATGCCCGGGAGAGATGAACTATTTTAAAAATAAAGGTCACACCCTCATGATTTTCCCTGATTTATGTAGAGAACACTCTGTTGACCCCTCTGGTTTGATTTTGGCTGCTTTGACTCATGCAGGCTCCATGAGAGTACAGGTTGTCATTTCCCAGAGACCAGGCCTGATTCATTTACCATGTGTTCTCCAGGGCTAGGGGGCTCCAGAGTGTGTGAGTGGTAACATTCTACCAGTGCCATTAATAGCATGAATACTGTCTGAGGAGGTAGCATGGAAGAAGACAGTTATTTTGAAACAGAGAGAGGAAGAAACACTTAGATGATACATAGTACTCTGTACAATATAAACAATTCTCTTATATGAGTAACCTAAAGAATAAATAAAGAGAAAAATAAAAGACAGATAGGAGGTAAGATTTTTTGCAAAAGGGAGGAGGACCAAGAGACGGAGGAAGTTGAATGGGAAGGAAAGGGAAGGGGTTGAAAAAAAGAATTGAAATGCGTCATGTCCACATACCAGTTTCCCATGAAGAGTGTAATTATTATGAATTTCAAACATACATTAATGAAAAGTAAAAACAAACAAATTCCTGCTTTTTTAAAAAAAGGGAATACCACCACTTAATCAAGCACTGGAGACGTGCAACAGATGTTAACCCTTCTAGCCTTACTTCACAGTGAGTGGGGCGTCTCCACTTCTGTTGGTGTAATTCACGACAGCATTGAAGGACTGGTTAATCCACTGCCAGAACAGCACAGCCGGAGTGGTCCTAAAACAGAGCAATCCATCACACACCCACCGTCACTTGTGACCCAGCCACTGTACACAACAGAAAACACGAACACCAGCAGGAAGGAGGGCATCAGAGAGGGGGACCCACGGGGCCAGACTGCACAAGGGCCACAGGCTTAGGACCTGCGTGACTGTCCCCTCTGGTGATCAGTTTCCTCATCACCAAGCTCAGAGGGTGATAATGAGAAAACAAAGAGCTCTGTAGATAGCCTGGCACAAAGTAGACACTAAATAACTGGCAAGCTCCTCTATTTGGACAAAAAGAAGCCATTTGCAGACTAAGCACTCCCAGTCTCTCCTAACTACAATCCTGTATGTTAATGTATGTTGGTGGCTGTCTATATGTCTATACTTATCCCTAGCCTTATACCCATAGCTTATAAAAGTAGATTAAAAGGGAAGTCATTTACAGGCTCCATTTCTTTTATCTTATTTGCTTTTGGGTATAAGATGTAGGGAAAAACCAACCTTCTCTTGAACAACACCGAAGATGCTATTCAGTGCAGGGAAAAGGTAAAATGGATGTTTGAATAAAATATTTACTTAAAGGCGTCATACTAGGCCTAGTGCTTAGTAAAGTAGCAACTCTTATACAAATACAAATGAGGACTAAAACTGAAATGACATTATGATATTTATTTTTCCCAAAGAAATGCTACCTCCTCTTTTTTTTTTTTTTTTTTTGAGACACGGTCTCCCTGTGTTGCACAAGATGGTCTTGAACTCCTGGGCTCAAGGGATCCTCTCATCTCAGTGTTCCAAACAGCTGTGACTACAGGTGTGCACTACCACATCCAGCTACAATACCCCTATTTCATTTATAATTCTTTAAAATTTAATTTTATTGACTATTATTTATGGGGCACAATACGATGTCTTCATATTATGGAATGGTTAAATACAGCTCGTTAACATATCTATTACCTACACACTTAGGAGATGACATTAATTTCAATCAACTTATTTATAAATTAAACACATACTTTGGGCTTCTGTCATGTTGAATGAATGAACTGTTGTTACACATCCATCACTTACCTATAAAATGTCATCATGCAGCCTGTGATGGTCATGTTCATCGGAACCTGAGCTGACATCCTTCCTATCAAAATCATCTTCTCACCAGTGTCAGGATGAAAAGCAGAGTCGTAGACGTACTTTGCTCGCCACAGTTCATTTTCTGTAAGACCTGGAGGAACAACTCCTTGTCTAGGAAAATGACAACAAATAACACAGCAACCGTTCATTTCAAATACCTTACCAGTGCCCTAGAGACAAGGAGCTACGGGGTTTTTAAAAGTTGACACTTAGAAACAATTGTGCCTAGATGAAATGACAAATGTGCTATGTATAGTAACTGTTTTTAAATCTTACTTAATTTTGCTGCAGGGGACTGAACCCATGGCTTTGCATGTGCTCCATGAATAAGCACTTACAACATTTCAAGCCTATTTTTTTGAAATTACCTGTAATTTGGAAAATTAAAAAAATCTTGTGTACTAAAATAGTACTTAGTGCTGAAATACTCTTTGTTTTACATGACATACTGAAAAATCTAGCTTGAACTTTGCAGACGCTAAAATATTGTTATACAATTACACAATGGCTATGCAGTCAAAAATACTAATTCTTTTTTTTTTTGGTTTTGGTTTTGGTTTTTCTCCGGTACCGGGAACCGAACTCATGACCTTGCGCTTGCCAGGCAGGCGCTTTTGCCGCTGAGCTAAATCCCCAGCCCCTACTAATTCATTTTTAAACCAACAGTTTGGAATCCTAGATTAGAAAGACATTAGTGAAAAAAAGCTCAGTATTCATTATATCTTTTCCTTATCAAAGAAACATGTTCAGTGTCAAAAATTCAGAATTTACGAAATTCATTAGAGCAATTAAAATCACTCCAGTCTTTACCTGTTGCTTACCACTTGTAATGTTCTGGTGAATATACTTCTAGGATCTCTATGCTTTGTGTTTATTTAAAGACATCAACACTGCTTAACCATTTTTTAAAGTTCAATAGTATTTTGCAAACATTTCTTTATATTTGCAGATAATTTTCTAAATCATCTGTACTGGACTGAATTGTGCTTCATCCAAATTTTATAAGAAATGAATTTCCTGAGATAAAAGCTATGTACTATATTAAAACTTTATATGCCTTTCATTGTTTAGGTACATCTTTGTTTTAATCATATCATCAACAGAAGCAGAATTACTGTTATTTAGGTAACTTATACGTATACTTTACACACTGTGGATAATTAACCCAAATTTTAATTTGGTTCGTTATCTGTTGTCCTACAAATTTTGTATTTCTTGTGTAATCAAGGAACCACTGGGAAGTTGTATAAATATTCACCTAAACTCGTCAAATTTTCTTAACAGTAATTTTTTTGTCCTAAAATTCTAATTTATTTAGAATTTACCTTAAGATTGAAAAATGTGGAACTTGCCTAACTTTAGTTCCATGTTAGCTGGTCTCTATCGATTGAGGTTTTATGACTATCTCTAATGTACAGTATTGGGCTTAATTCCTAAGACCTTCAAAGACCAATTTGTTTACATATCTTTATGGCAAAACCCACCATTGTAATCTGAAAGTCCATTCTAGTTTTTGGAGGAGCAATTGTTGCTTATTCTGCTTATCTTTTTCAAAAGTGTCCTGGTTACACTCATCTATTTACTCTTCCAGAAAAACCTTACAATTACTTCGTAAATTGTATTTTACAAATAAAATGAGTGATCAACATTTATTTTGACTGAAACTGGACTGTCTGGAGAGAAGTGACAGTTTCATTCAATCCTATAAATGTCTCTCTAGTTATTCAAATTCTTCTTTTAATAATTCCCAGTAGACCTGTGATTGCCATATACTTCTGAGGGAGTTTGTCCTTGGACACTTTACATTTTTTATTGTTCTTATAAAAATGAAAAAATTTTTTAACAGATTACTGCGGGTACACAGAAAATCACCAATTTTTTGTGTGTATTACAAGCAGCTCCTCCCATAATACTGTTGCATTTGTCCCATTGGTTTTCTGTTTGATTGTTGAAAGTACAATCACTTATCCAAAAAAAAAAAAAAAAGAAAGAGAAAAACAAACCAACACCCACCCCAGAAACCCAAAGCAAAAAGACCTCCTATCGAAGCCACTTTGAAGATATCAATATATAATACAACCACCATTGTTAATTCCCTACCACTTTGTTTGTAACTCTGTATTGTCTGTATTGTGCTTGTGATATGTTGTAAAATGTTGTATGTCTGTTAATGTTTCCCTTCTTTTATCTTTAAAATAAAAAAACAAACAAACAAACAAACAAAAAAAACCAAAAAGACCTCCTATCTTTTCGATATCTGTACATATTATTTCTAGAGTGTAGTTTGATAGTAGTGAATATCTAGTGATTCCGGACTTGCTCCTCAACCTTCACAAGACTGCCTCAGTGTGATCTTTCCAGAGGCCTGTTCTCTTAGATATTAATAGATGTTATGGGAAAAGAGAAAAGACCCATGTTTGAGTTTGGGAAAACGGATTTTGTAGCTTTCTTTACCCTTAGACTTTTCGGAAACTTTAAAAAGTTAATGGGATGTGACCTCCTCAAGAGTGGACATGAACTTTCCCAAAGAAACCACCTTCTTTTTTCTCTCTTTTCCTCTTCTATTCTGTTTCTCCAGTCTTTTAGAGAGTTCTGCTCTAGTGCTGGCTGTTGATCAGGAATATGATTCCTCATCATTTTAAAGGACTACACATTATTTTTAGTTAAATAATTATTGCTGAGAATTAGATGCATAATTTTGCCTTCTTTTCCTAAGATTATCAAGATGTAGCTTTTTGCTTTGACATACTGAGGTAATAAATTACATTAAGAATGTTCTAAAATTAAATCACCTTTTCATTTTTGGAATAAATCCTTCAAGTTGTTAACTGCTGCCAGAGAGAAATAAAATTGATTTTGAATACTGATTTTGCATCTTTTGGCCTTGATAAACGTACTTACTTGATTCTTTTTTGAGATTCTTCCTAAATAGGTGATCGTGTTTTTCATAAAGACAGTTTTACTTCTTCTTTTCACTTTTTATCCTATTACCTAACTTTTCCTTTATGGAACTAGCTGGCACATTCAGCACGACACTGAATAAGAGTAGTGGGAACACAATCTTATGCTCTTTGGGGAAAGTGATCGTTATTTCACCATTAAATTTGATGTGGGCTTACTTTTTCCTTCTACTAGTTTGTTGAGAGAATTACCACGAATGCCTGCTGGATTCTGCTGGCTTCTGTTGCATCTTATTGAGATGGTCAATCCTGCTTTTTTAGTCTGTTGATGTGACAGTGGTTTGCAAATGTTAAGCCAATCTTACATTCAAGGTCCTCTTGAGTTCTGCTTATTTTGGGCCTTACCTTTTTCTCTGCGGTGGAAATTGTTTAAATTGCTACACCCTCTTGAGGATATTTGTGTCTATGAGGGACATAATTCTATTTTTTTCTTTCGTGTAATCTTTTTGTCCACTTTTGCTCTGAGGGTATTGCTGGTGGCTTCATGAAATGAAAGAGGAAGTGATGCCCCCTGAGGACATCTGTGGAAGAACTGGTATTTCTTCCTGTAAAAAAATTTATTTCCTTCACATAAAATCATCTGGCCTTGGGGATATTTGCCTCTCTGTTACCATTTTGCTATTTGTTTTCTGTTTGTCTCATCTCCTTCTTATTTCTTTTCTCTTTCCCCGCCTTCTCTTGGGTCGAGAAAATTTTGATAATTTACATAGTCATAGAAAGCTATGTTTCACCATGATTTTCAAAATTTCTGGCAAAAAAGCTAAGCAGTATGCTTTATTTTAATATTTCTAGTTTTCTTTTAGGTAACTTTCTTATTCTTCTTGTTGCATATTTTAAGTTGTGTTGATTATTTCATATGTTTTAGACTTGCTAATGGCTTATTCTTATTGGGTTCACTAAAGAGTTAGCTTCCTCATTTATTTTTTAAAAATCCTATTATTTCCTAATTATTAAAAATTAATCATTTTCCTTGAAAATTTGCACATCTGGCTACTAACAACATGAATGCCGCAGTTTCTGGTCCTCATCCCCTTCTGAGAATTACTAATGAGGGTCACTATTCATGCCTTAGGATTTCTGTTTGAAAACTGTGGATAACAATGTACCTATCTACCTTTAAGGGTGGCCAGGAGGGTTAAACTAACAAATGTAAAAGGTCTCAAGCAGTACCTGACGTGCAGGAAGTAGTACCCAGGATTTGTGATTTTCTTTTTAATGTTATAGTTATCTAGTTTCTTAAACTGAACGCTGAACTCATTACTGTTCTTCATTGGTTAACTACTGAGAAGGGTAAAGATACAAACCTCCCACTGCAGCTCAACTGTGGCACAATTCCTTAGGGCTTCCTATTAATTTTCTCAATGTTTTTGCTTTGCAACTGCATTTTGGTTTTTCTTTATGAACAGAGACTTAAAGGGGAGTGTTTGAAAGCTGCAGTGTGACTAGATGGTTGTCTCGGTCACTTTCTCATCACTGGGACACAATACCTGATACCCACAAGTTAGAGGACGAAAGGGTTTATTTTGGCTCACAGTCTACCAAGGCTTCAGTCTAAAATCACTGGCTCCAAGCAAGAAGGAGCACGTGGAAGGGCCGTTGCAGGAAAAGCAGCTCACGTCAAGGTGGCCAGGAAGAAGAGAGGGACAGGGAGCAGCAGAGGAAGGGGAGAGATGATGCTACTACATTAGCAAAAATTCGGTTACCTTTCAAAAGCCTCACCAATGAGTGCATGAGGTTTAGGGGGCATCCATACGTAAAATGAAAGAATGACCCACGAAAGACTGAGAGTGTGTTAGAATTTCCTATTATTGTGTTTTAGTCAAGTTCTATTTGTGTATCTTTGTGAAGTTCTTCTGATGTATTTGTACTGAATTTTTTATTTCTTTATCTGATTTCTATATGGCAGATTGGTTTTTTTTTTTTTTTTCACTTCTAGTCTACTCAAGAAAAGTTTATGAGGAGATTGTTTTAGATGTTCTTGCATATTTTTGTAGCCTTTGCAAATAAAGACAATTTGGTACATTTCTGGGTTACAACTCTTTCTGGTGGAAACTTGGCACACATTACTTGTCTTCTGGCACTCACTGTATGGATGAAAAGACTGGATCTGTGCTGACAGTTGTTCTCTTTTTGTCTTTTTGAGACAGGGTCTTGCTATGCAGTTCAGCTGACCTTGAGCTCACTTTGTAGCCCAGGCTGGCCTCGAACTTGCAATGATCCCCCTGCCTCAGCCTCCCAAGTGCTGGGATTACAGGTGTGTGCTACCACACCTGGCTTCAACATTTGTTCTTTTTAAGAACTTGTTCTTCCTGTTCATGAAAGCTAATAGAGCTTTTAAAACTATGTTTGTAGGAAACTTAAAGAATAACAACAATAAAAATTGATACATGTGGGACACTTTGCTTGAAATGGCATGGATCAATTTAATTTGTAGACACGCATTTCCTTACAGAGGAGAACCCCCTTCTATTATATATTTAATATTGGGTTTTTTTTTTGCATTTTTCTACTCCCTCCTTTAGAAGCACCAAATAATTACATCTTTTCTCCTCATTCTCTATTCCTCTGATATAATCTTTTCCATATCTTTCTGTTGTCTACATTAGGGACTACAGAACCGGAGCCTACAGCCTGACATAAGGAGAACCAAGAATTATTTTTTCACTTTTAGAGGGTTAAGAAAACAAATAAGAGTCTTCAACATGTGTGTGTGTATATGCAAGTGAGGAGCAAAATAAATAGGAAGTGGGGAGAGGTTCAGGTGGTTTTCCAAATTACCTATTCCTTTGTTTCAAAAATATTATATACACTAATTTATTTCCTTTATACTACTAGCTTCTCTTAGTTCATTGAAGAAAAAGTTTTATACTATTATCTGTTCCTTCCTCGTAAGAATGTTTTTTGTAGATGTACTCTGAGTAACTACTTTGAAGATAATGATACATAGTATATTAACTACTGTTATTCTCTTAGTATTTTGCTATGAAATTTTGTTCTATTGTTTCATAAAAAATTATTCAATAGAGACATCTATAATGCCTAAAGCTTTTTGCCTTCTAGCCCTTTGCAGAAAATGTTTGCTGAACTCTGATTATTTTCACTGAAGAGCTTCTCTAGTTTCTCCTCTGCAATGCTATTTCTACTTTTTTCATTTTGCCATTTCTGTTAGTTCTTTACCACTGCCTCCAGTAATGATTTTAATTGTTGTTGTATCTCTAGGTTCTTGATGAGCTTCCTTATGTCTCTTCAACTCATCTCAACATCCTGCATCTCAACTGAATCACTGCATCTTGACATCCCTTCTTTTATGGGTTTTGATCCAGATTTATAAAGAACCTTTATTTTCTTGACTTCCTGAAATGTGCTCCTGTGAGCTCTCTATTTTACCTCACTGGTCAGTAGTTTTGCATAAGACCCCATGGTGTAATGCTGCTTGTATACCCCCTCCTGATGCACGTCTGTACACTGTGAAATCTGGCCAGACTCAGATTGGTAGAGGTTCCCTTTTTAACTACCTATGCACAGCCAAACTACTGTCTCAAATATGTTACTTGTGTGTACCGCATATCTGACAATTTCTGACTGAGTTTTCTCTACAGCAGGGGCCAGTGAACTATTACCCATGGTCCAGATGCCCTACTGGTCAGAATGATTATTACCATTTTAAAGAAGATTACAAGAAAAATAAAAAAATTGAGAATAATATGCCACAATGTGTTGGCTTTCTGGCACTGTGATAAGATACTTGAAATAATCAATTATAAAAAGGAAAGGTTCATTCTGGCTCATGATTCCAGAGGTGTCAGTCCATGATCACTCTGCCTTGTCACCCCAAGCCTGAAGTGGCACACGTCATTGCAGGAGTGCACAGACATGGAAGTCTATTTACTTCATGATGGCTGGGATACAAAGACAGAGGAACGGGCCATGGTTCAAATATTTCCCTCAGAGGCACACCTCTAATGACTTAACTTCCTTCTACCAGGCCCTTCTGCTCAACTAACAATTCCAGTAGCACCACCAGTTGACAAAAAGTCTTTAAACACACGAGTCTTTTGGGGGACACTGGAGATTCAAACTATCGCAGATAGAGACCCTTGGTAATGCACAAAGCCTGAAATATTTCTCAGATTTTATAGGAAAAAATTGTCAACTGCTGCACAGGAATATATACAATCCCTGTGTATCCATGGGGAATTGGTTCCTACACCCCAGAGATAAAAATGTGTGTATTCCCATGATCTTTGTGTAGAAATGCATAGCATTTACAAATATCCTACATATATCTTCCTTTATACTTTAAATCATCTCTAAATTACATATAATATTTAATACAGATGCTATGTAAATAGTTTTTATACCACAGTGTTCAGGAAACAAAAAAACATGTCTGTATATGTTCAGTACAGAGGCAGATTTGGGAAATTTTTTTAAAAGTATTTTTGATTTGCAGTCAGTTGAATTCACAGATATGGAACCATGCGCATCTGGAGAGCCAACTGCCTCTCTGCACAGGCAGCATCCTCTCTTACCTCATACCTGGCTCTCAACTGACGCAGTGCATCCTAAATCTACAATCCCGAGTTTCCAGCAGTAGCCTGCCCATCTGAATCTCTACTGACCAAGTTTTATTCACTGGAGCTACGTTTGAGAAGCAACCACCCTCCCTTTAATTTCTGACAACTTATTTTTTGTATGCTGCTGTTTCTTTCTAGAGACGTAAGAATGAATGGGATACTTGTGGATTCAGGGGAGAGTTGTGTTAGAGGGAAGAAGTTAGGATGCTGGGAACCTTACAGATTGATACCTATGGGGAGGAGGGCAGCTGCCTCATTTCCAGGTTACAACAAACTCTGGAAATTTGTGTAAAGAGTCGGCAATGGGAGAAACAAATCTTCCAATATTTTTCTTGATAAAGAGAAATTTTATTGCCAAAAAAGTTGGAAAATCACCAAGTGAAGGTTTAAAACTAATGGATAAACAGGATTATTGGTTCATATATGAAGAAAAAAATAATTATTAATGTTACCTGTAATCATGTATTATTTTCCTGGCATTCTCTAGTTGTTCGTTTGTTAACAGAATATTTCTGGGATCAGTCACAGTGAAGAAATGGTTGGCTCGTCCCACGAAAGTGCTTTGATCCCATCGAGGCTCCTTGATGTTAATGTTCAGTGGCAGTTCCCCAGACATCTTTCTGGACTGCAGAGGGGCACACAGACGTCTCTAGGTAAGATCGTGCTATCACTCCCCAAGTGAAGATTTAATATGTCCTTCCTATTCATAAAAATAATTTTGCCCTACGTGGCAGAAAGACCGTCGAAATCAAAGTGAACCTTCGATCTCAATGCATCTTAGCAAAATTTCAACAGGTTTGCATATATTTCTCCGTATTCCTTACTTGTTGGAATCCTAAAAACACTCTAGAGAAAGTAGAAATAGAGTTTTAAAATAACAACAACAGTAAGAAGTTGAAGTCACTCGTAGGAAAATGGATGCACCTTGAGACCATAATGCTAAGTGAAAGAAATCAGACACAGGAGGCTAAATACTGTTTTCTCTTAACGAGAAACCCAAGTATAAATGATTTAAAGGGTAAAATAAAAGATGCATGATGGGAAAGAGGGAGCTAGCCCCTGTGGAGATGGGGTGAGAGAGGAAATGGGAGAGGTAAAAAGAATCAAGGTGCAATGCTGTATCAGTATCAGTTCCTCGTGATGAACGCATTTATTTGATATATAATAAATATCCTCATGATATATAATAAATGCGTTCATCATGAGGAACTGATACAGCATTAAATTTAGACCCATTTTTCTGAGTGAAACAACCAATGTTAAACTACTTCTGCATTCTGATCTATTATATTTGTTACTCTTATCAGAAAAAATAGCGACACAGGAAAGGTGTAAATAGTAAAAATTAGACTATTCAAAAACGATTCAGACTCATATCTGTTCAGTTTTGTTTGGCATATAAAGCACTAAACAAAACTATAAATTATGTTCTTTGATTTACTAGCAACATAGAGGAAAACACATATTCTGACAGCCTCACAAATAGGAACAACACTATAGCATATAATTTTCCTCATGAAATGTCTATTTTCTGGGTCATAGCCATTACTTTTTTCCCACAGTAATTAATTTCTTTCTCTAAGTAATACATGCTTATTTTAGAACTGCATTATAGTGTTGTAACACCTGCCCAGAAGCAAAATCTCTCACAATCCAGCCACCCTGAAGTAACCATTGTTAATGTTCCCACGTATTTCCTTGCAAACATTTTCTATATATACTATCATATAATTTAAAAATAATTTGATGTTATACTCCGAGTATCTTCTCTGCAAGTATTTAATGAATATCCTCTGTGGTATTAAATGCTCATTTTGGATTATATAATGACACCTTTAATTTTCATGTTATTTCATTTTTGCACCAGTATATAAAATGCTGCATTCTTGTCTACAAATCTTCTACTTCATATCTGATGATTTTCTTGAATTAGGTCTCCATGCAGGATGCTACTGTGTCATAGGATTTAACCACT